AACCGAAAACCGTGACCACGAAACCGTGAACCGAACCGAACCGTGGATTTTGTGAACCGCTCCACCCCTAGTCTTTTTCCTGCTTCACAAAGCAGCAGGTATCCGTATCGAGGCCAAAAGATGGCATCGGTGCAACACCAGTTATAAGATGTCAAATTACTTAAGTAAAAAGTATATTGACCTCTCATGGTTCTGAAGAAAAAATAACTGGATGTTAAACCAGCCTTTTGTGCCAGTTTTTAACAGGACTAAACAGATATTTAATAGGTGCGGACTTATTTTTTTTTCCAGTGTCCTGTCTGGCAATGTGGCAATAAGAATAACTCTTTATACCAAAAAGAGCCCAACAGGTTCTACTTTCACAAGTGTAGCAGTACGGCTATCGCCATAGTGTTCCGCTTAATTTATGTATATAATTTGCTTTATTATAATTCATGCAGGGAGTATTATAGATTATATGGACACTGCAATGTAGGTAGAACAGGAAAGGAAAAACAGAAAAAAGGAGGAAAGATTAAAGAGAGAGGAGATAAAAGAGAGATAATGAAAAAACATCTTCAGTCTGCTTCATCACCTGCAAAGAGATGTAAAAAGAACAGCACAACCAACGGACATGGTATTTTTTAAATTATTTTAACAATTTTTTTTATATAACTACATTTATATAGCTGTTATACATTAATCCAAAGTATATAATACTTTGCTCAGAGGTGTTTTTGACCCTAGTTTCATCTTCTTCATCTTAACCAAATAAAGTTAAAGCTCTAACTGAAAGCCCTCAGGCGGAAACTCATTGGCAGCTCATCCCCTGCCTGTCATAATAACTTTCCCTGTCTGCTGTGCGCTGCAGGCGGGGGGTGGAGGGGCCCCCGCGGGGCCCGCCCCCTCTGATCCGACCAGGCGCTCAGTCATTCGCTCACTCAGATAATTTGGATCATCAGCCTGGTTACATTCGGAGCAGAGATGGCGCGGTCCAAGGCCAGGGTGTACACTTGTTGCGCGCTGCTGCTGCTGCTTGTCTTCGCTGTCATCGTGGCCATAGCTGTGGCTGTGAGGCGCAGATGCCCCAGTGGCTCTTTCTCCAAAGCTGCCGTCGCTGCAGACACTAAGACATGCTCAGAGGTTGGAAGGTGGGTCCTAATTAACCATTAATCATTAGAAAAAAAAAACAAAAAAAAAAAACATATCCGGTTTATCTATTATAGCAATCGAGGAAAAACTGTGACAACATCCGCGATTTGCAGATATGTTTATCTCTATGATCTGTTCAACCAAGCTGGTGTTTACTGCTGATGACTCATTTAAACTTGTTGAAACATCCGGAATCAGAAAAAAAAATTCAGAGAAAGTTTTACAGGCGTTTTTAGACGCCCACGCTTATGTAAAGTACATAAACATCTCCAGCAGACACGTAATAAATATTAACAGAGGTGAATTTTGCAGAGACATGCTGCAGCGCGGCGGCTCGGCGGTAGATGGCGCCATTGCTGCGCTTCTGTGCACCAGTATCATGAACCCGCAGAGCGCGGGGCTCGGAGGGGGCTCCATTTTCACAGTGATGGACAGCTCAGGTGAGAAAAAGGCTCCCAATCAGCTGAACAGGTGTTTTGGTGATAGTTAGTGATAATAACAGGTGGGGAGGGGGATTCTTTTTAAAGGTAATGTGAAGATCATCAACTCCAGGGAGACTGCCCCATCCAAGGTGGACCCCCACCTGTTGAAGTCCTGCTCCCAGAGCTTCAACCTGACGTCAGGTAGTTTGCTGCTGCATCCCAAACAGACATGTTTACTGCTTTTAAATGAGCTTCCTTATCTTTGGAGCAAGAACTTCTGGTTGTTCCAGCTCTGTTATCTGCTAATTTCATGAGCCACTTTGCTCTTGTTTTGCATAAGGCGAAGGTTTGTCTAGTTTTTATTTTGACATGCAGCAGCGCTTCATGGTTTGTTATTTGAACTGTTCATTTACACCTCCGATGTATTTTATTTGGATTAAATAAGATGTATACCAACACATTGTTGTGGAATGGAAAATTTACAGTTACTTCCTTTAAACAATTTTGGTCAAACAGAAACCTGGAAAGTGTAATACTACTGTAATACCTGTTTAAAGGCAACCAGTTTCTTTCTGCAGTCACTCAATTAGTGAATAAAAAATGCTTTAATCCCAGCTGTAAATATGTCAGAGGTTTAAGGCAGATATATGGTTAAATAATTTTTGAATGAACTTTAAGTTAGCTTTAACATTAGGTCATATCCGTGATTTTACTTTGAGTGTTTACATGTGCGTTAAAATCAGATTTTGTTTCTGATATAAGAGCTAAGGGGTCCAAATAGTATTTTATGAACCACACAGTTAGGTGGAGTATTGTGGGTTGGATCCTGGCTGTGGAACAAGGACCAGCTCTACCCCCTCCTCAGGGTCCTAGAGGGTTCATGCGAACTGGTCCAGCTGGTCCATCTGTGCTTTGGAGACTTGAGGAAGGCATTCAACCGTGTCTTTCAAGGAACTCCAGGAGTACAGGTCAGGGGCCCTTTATTAGGGGCCATCCAGTCTGTTTACAAGCAGAGCAGGGGTCTGGCTCACATTGTTGGAGTCAAGTCTGACTTGTTCTGCTGCATGTTGAACTCCGGCAGGGCAGCCATGTGTCGCCAGTCCTGTTTATACCTGTCAAGGACAGGATTTCTAGGCACAGCCAAGAGCCAGCAGGGGTCTGGGTTGGGGACCAAGATATATGGTATATAATTATATATATATATATGTAATATGTTATATTATAAAGAATTTTGAAATAGATTTCATAAATTTTATTGCTAATGGGGTATTGATCAGGTAGTGACCATGGTTGGCTCCAGTCTATTCAATTAAAAATGGAGTTCCAGTAGAATTTGCCTCTTGGTTGTAGGCATTTGAAACTTGTTACATATTTCTTTGTTATTATATTTGGTGCCAAGAAGATGCAGTCCATTCAGAAACAATTAGGTGGTAAAAGTTTGATTAAATTGTGATAATTTTAATAATTGTTAGAGTCCATTAGGGATGCATTGTATAATTCATTTGTATTGCTTGTATCTTATTGGAAACTGATATTTCATCAACAAGTAGACGTAACTAATTATATTACCATGATTGTCTAATAATTTAGAGATGGTTCTAATACTTTTATTTATCCATGCTGGCTCATAAATGGAATTTTTACGTTTTGTAATATATATGTTATTCAAAATTATGCATATGTCTGGTGAAAAGTTATGAATGTGGCAGAAGGTTGTAACTCAGGTGGGTTTACGCATGGAGCAGGCGAGCACATCACTGAAGTGCACAGGCTATATATTACCGCCATCTATTGGGCTGAAATATAATGTTACAACTAGTGGTGTCCCATTTCTCAGGGAGAAAATCTTCACTTGTGTCATGATTTTATCTAAAGATCTGACCCACATGCAGAAGACCAAACAGAGAGACCAGGGGAAAGTTTAACGGGTTTTATTGTGAGTTGGTAGAGAGGAGACCAGTGCTGCCCTGAACACTGTTGAACCGGGACTGAAAAGTGAAGGGGAAGGTTCTGCGGTTAGTTCAGGCTCAGTGGGAAATTTGTGTCTTTGATTTGAAGAAGGGAATAAAGGCAAAAGGACGCACGTTTCCAGAAAAATGTGTCTTTCATTGAATCCAGTTGATGTGGGTTGTTCCAGTTATAGACTTGTTCGTTGGAGGGCGGACAGGGTTTAACCAGGTTGAGGAGATGACTGCCACTTAGATTT